ATAATTCCAGCTACTCAGGAGCCTGAGACCTAAGGATCACAAGTTCAAGGCACTCTTGAGCTACACGGGAGTTCAAAGCCAGCCTAAGTAACTTAGACATTGCCTCAAAAATGGAAAGTAATAATGTAGGCTTCTAGGTAAGATGACAGAGCTGTTTCCACATGACCTGGCTAAGGAAAAGTTAATGTAAGAGTAGACTGTATTCCAAAGACCGAAAGAGGCAGTTTGAGAAACTCATGAAGGTAATGACAGGACAGCTAAAGAACACCCAGGAAAAGATGGGTACCCAAGAACAAGAGCAAGCCAAGCCAGGTGCAGCTCCAGACACATGGCTTCCTGGTGGGGGAACAGAAGCATCATCTAAAAAACAAGCCAGGTGGTTCAACTGAAGACAATGGCAGTTCCCAATGAGATTTGACTCGAATCTAGTTCTTTTTAAAAAATATTTTAATGTCGGGCGGTGGTGCTACACTCCTTTAACCCAGCACATCTGAGGCAGAGGCAGGCAGATCTCTGTGAGTTTGAGACCAGCCTGGTTTATAAGAGATAGTTCTAGGACAGCCTCCAAAGCCACAGAGAAACCCTGTCTTAAAAAACAAAACAAACAAACAAAAAACACAAAACAATACAAATATTTTATTTATATTAAATTTAAAATTACATACCAATCCCAGTTCCCTCTCCCTCCTGTCCTCCCAGTCCTTCTGCCATTCCCCTATCCCGCATCCACACCTCAAAGAGGGTGATGTCTCCCATGGGGAATCATCAAAGTCTGTCACATAATTTGGGGCAAGACCCAGGCCCTCCTCCCTGTATCTAGGCTGAGCAAGGCATCCCTCCACAGGGAATGGGTTCCAAAAAGCCATGAACTAGGGATAAAGAGTGGTCCACTGCCAGTAGTTCCACAAACTGCCCAAGACCCCCAACTGTTACTTGCATTCAGGGGACCTAGTTAAGTCTTGTGCAGATTCCTCAGCTGTAGGTCCAGAATCAATGAGCTCCCACTTGTTTGGATCAGCTGTCTCTGTGGGGTTTTCCAACATGGTCTTGATCCCTTTGCTCCTATTATCACTTCTCTCTCTCTTCTTCTGGACTCCAAGAGTTTGGCCCAACGCTTAGCTGTGGATCTCTGAATCTGTCCTCATCAGTTACTGGATGATGGCTCTATGATGACATTTAAGATAGTCATCAATCTGACTATAGGGAAGGGCAGTTAAAGTACCCTCTCCACTATTGTTAGATTCTTTGCTGGGGTCATCCTAGTGGATTCCTGGGAATTTTCCAGGTGCCAGGTTTCTCGTTAACCCCATAATAGTTCCCTCTGTCAAGGTATCTCTTTCCTTGCTCTCTGTCCCTCCCCCGTGTTCTCCTCCCACTCCTTTTCTCCCCCTCTCCTCTCTCCTACTACCCTTCCTCCTCCCCACACAATCCCAATTTACTCAGAAGATCTTGTCTATTTTCCCTTCTCAGTGTGGGAACGTGTCTATTTATGTCTCTCTCAGGGTCCTCCTTGTTTCCTGGCTTCTCTGGCGCTGTGGACTGTAGGCTGGTTATCTTTTGCTGTTATGTCTAATATCTACTTATGAGTGAGTACATACTGTTTTCGTCTTTTTGTATCTGGGTTACTTCACTCAGGATGGTTTCTTCTAGTTTCATTTGCCTATGAATTTCAAGATATCATTGTTTTTTATTGCTGAGTAGTACTCCGTTGTGTATATGTACCACGTTTTCTTATCCATTCTTCAGTTGAGGGGCATCTACATTGCTTCCGGCTTCTGGCTATTACAAATAATGCTGCTATGAACATAGTTGAACAAATGTCCTTGGGGTATAAGTGTGCATCCTTTGGGTATATGCCCAAGAGTGGTATTTCTGGGTCTTGAGGTAGGTTGATTTCCAATTTTCTGAGAGAAACACCATACTGATTTCCAAAGTAGCCGTACAGGTTTGCACTCCCACAAGCAATGGAGTGTTCCTCTTACTCCATATCCTGTCTAGCATAGGCTTTCATTACTGTTTTTGACCTTAGCCATTCTGACAGGTATAAGATGGGATCTCAGAGTGGTTTTGATTTGCATTTCCCTGATCACTAAGGATGTTGAGTAACTCCTTAAGTGCCTTTCAGCCATTTGAGATTGTTCTGTTGAGAATTCTCTATTTAGATCTATACCCCATTTTTAAATTGGATTATTTGGTTTTTTGGTATTTAGTTTCTTGAGTTCTTTGCATATTTTAGAGACCAACCCTCTGTCAGATGTGGGGTTCCCATTCTGTAGGCTGCTGTTTTGTCTTGTTGACTGTGTCCTTTGCCTTACAGAAGCTTCTCAGTTTCAGGAGATTCCATTTATTAATTGTCAATCTTATGTTTGTGCTACTTGTGTTATGTTCAGGAAGTAGTCGCCTGCACCAATGCATTCAAGGGTACTTCCGACTTTCTCTTCTAATAAATTCAGTGTGGCTGGATTTATGTTGACGTCTTAGATCCATCTGGACTTGAGTTTTGTGCATGGTGACAGATATTGATCTATTTGCATTCTTCTACATGTCAACATGCATTTATGCCAGCACTATTTGTTGAAGATGCTTTGTTTTTCCATTTTGTAATTTTAGCTTCTTTGTCAAAAATCAGGTGTTCATAAGTATGTGGATTAATATCAGGGTCTCTGATTTGATTCCATTGGTCTACCTGTCTGTTTTTGTGCCAATACCAAGCTGTTTTTATTACTATAGCTTTATAAGAGCTTGAAGTCAGGATGGTGATACCTCCAGAAGTTCCTTTATTATACAGGATTGTTTTGGCTATCTTGGGTTTTTGTGGTTTTTTTTTTGTTGTTTGTTTATTTCTCCATATGAAGTTGAGTATTATTCTTTCAAGGTCCGTGAAGAATTGTGCTGAGGTTTTGATGGGGATTGCACTGAATCTGTAGATTGCTTTAGGAAAGATTGCCATTTTTACTATGTTGATCCTACCTATCCAAGAGCATAGGGGATCCTTCCATTTTATGGTACCTTCTTTAATTTCTTTCTTTAAAGACTTGAAGTTCTTGTCATACAGCAAGAGCATAAGAGATCGTTCCATTTTCTGGTATCTTCTTTAATTTCTTTCTTTAAAGACTTGAAGTTCTTGTCATACAGGTCTTTCACTTGCTTGGTTTGAGTTACCCCCAAGATATTTTATGTTGTTTGTGGCTATTTCAAAGGGTGGTGTTTCTTTGATTTTTTTTTTTCCTTACATGATATATCCTTACTACAGTTTCCCCTCCCCCTACTCGATGTTCCTTCCCACTTCCCCTCCCATCCAGATCCACCCCCTTTCTGTCTCTCATTAGAAAACAAACAGGCTTCTAAAGGATTTTAATACAACACAATATAACAAAAACAAACAAACCAAAATAGAACAAAGCAAATTGAAGGAAAAAAGTCAAAGAAAATGCACAAGAAACAGAAATAGATGCAGACATCCATTCATGCCCTTAAGTGTTTTAAAGTTTAATCATTCTTTAGAGCACACAAATTCATGGTTTCTGCCTTTCAAATAGCTTTCCCCTCTTCTCTGCTCCCCACCTTCAGTTCGGTGGTGAACTGTGTGTTACTATTGGATGTGACCACTGAAATAATACTCAGAAAGCCCCTTGGAAATTTCCCAAAGTATTCACTTAGACATATGTAATATAATGCCTCAGTTTACATTCCACAAACCCACTACTTTTGGGACAGATGCCTCTCAAAAGATATCCACATGTATGATTCTTGTCTTGAAAAATACAGGATAAAATTTCCAAGGAATTATCTGGGGAATCTCAAGATAAAGATGTAGAAAATGAGAGAAGGAAAATTCTATACCAACCTGAAAAGTTCCTGAATTCCCCAGTTCTTATTAAGGAGCTCACAAAGGTAAGGGCATTTCATGGCACTCATATTCTGCCTTCAGCCCCAGCAAGAGCAAGCTGTGAGCATCAGGTTCACCATGGTTCTTCAGGGCCTTTGCAAACTCTTCTGTGAACTTCTTGTAACACTATCTGAGTGTAGGACCATTTTGTCCACAATATTTCCTTATGTAACCTACAAATATACTTTACTAAATTGTGTTTTGTGTGTGTATTTTTTAAGATATACTTTAAGCACCCACTAATTCTGGCTGTGAAAAACATCTCCTTTGCTGTCCAAGAGAGGGAGTGCTTTGGATTACTTGGATTTAATGGAGCAGGTAAAACAACTACCTTTCAAATTTTGGTAGGAGAAAGGACTCCCACCACCGGAGATGTATTCATTGATGGCATTAGCATCACCAAGAACATCCTAAAGGTAAGCTATTCCAGGATAAGATGTGAACAGAGTGATGATTCTAGGATGCAGGCAGTAGGCAGATGGCTAGGGATAATACATGGCAGTGGTGATAGATGTTGATGCTGTGGTCTGGGGAGTAAAATACGTTTTTAAAGAGAAGAAGGTTAATAAGAGCATAACCTATGACAAGAGCTTCTTTTAAAGCTGTAGGAATGAAAGGCAAGTTCTCATTACAGTGTAGAAGACATGCATCCCATGGGGCTGGAAGGGTGTAAGGCAGAACATAGGAGCAGAAGATGGCCCACATGCAGTTTAGCTGCAACTAGGGCCTTGATCCATGTCACTGAGTGCTCCAAAGCAGGATGGCCTTTCAGACATATTGCAAATCAAAGCGAAACCACCAAACTTTGTACCCTCTGCTGGCCACTGGCTGCAGGAGCTGAAGATGGGTAACTTTGGGAAGAAGTATGGTGAGAGCTTCAAGCAGAAAAGAATGAGAGTTTCAAATTCCAGGAATCAACAGCACATATCAGGTAAGTCCCCGAGGAGATAGAAGGGCAGTGTGAACTGCCCACCTGGGAATGTCAGGATGCAAAGCGGATTAGTGATTTGTCATCAGGAAACAAACCTGAATTGAGAATCAATATCCTAGTCAGAGAAAGTGTCAGGTTTCAGAGGAGACCAGGCATACAAGCTTTGCAGTGGCTGGTTCGGCATCACAATGTTTGAAGAAAGGTTTCCAAGCCTCAGGCATCTTTTCAGCCTGCCATTGGAAAATCTCTCACATTTTATGTGACTGGTGATAATACTTTGTTTTGTCTCTAAAATGTTCTTTAGCATATCTTCTTATCTTGATGGCAATAGATAATGTAAAATTTACCATCTAATGCATTTCTGAATTCAGTGACATTGTGCCCCTTACCACAGTTTGTCTCTAGAAATATTTTGTCATCCCAAACTGAAAACTCTACCCATTAAACAATAACTCTCCCTTTCTTCATTCACCCCTGGGGAACCCTGTTCTACTTTCTGACTGTATGAATTTGACTGTGTTTTAGGTACTATATATAAGAATGTGCCTTTTTGCCTGGCATGTTTCAGCTATCAATCTCTTTAAGGTTAATGTATGAGTACAGGACATTTTATTTCCCCATACATCTACTGTTTGACTATTACAAATAATAATGTTATCACATCAGCATGAAATATACTAGTCAGCTTTCTATAGCTATAAAAATACCTTTGATATTCAACTTATTTTCTAAAACATTCATTTTGTGCAGTTTCAAATGTTCAAGGGTATGTTGTTGGCTCTGTGGCATATTGGTTTTATGGCAA